GTTGCAGTAAAAGTAGATTCTCAAAACTTCTTTGCTTAAAAAAAAACAAAAGGCCGAAAAGTTATGCCACAAAGGGGAAAAAAAATAGTTTTTACTTTTATACAATAACATACTTAATATACTGTATGTACTATTGGTTTTATGAACACTGAACACAATGCTTTTAAAGCTGATGTAATTCAAATAAATTAAATTATTATGCACACACACACACACACACACGTATAGTTTACCAGTTTTAAAAATCATTAAATAATAAAACCAATACTATTCTTAAAACTGAGGGCTATATTAAGTTATAAATAATGTTATATAATAAATACTGTTAAATAATTTAGTCTGATTTTCTGAGCTAGATTCAGATTTTGCAAGCCAGAATCAGACACTTTTTTTTTTTTTAATGTTAAAATGTATCAACTATTATATATCATATAGGCTTTTGAGGAATCTTTTGAAGAACCTCTATTTGTTCATGATTGTTTGTCATCACTGTGCTATATACATTTTATACATTGCATTATATGGTTGCCCCCACAATTAAAACTAGAGATTTAATAATAAAACTAAGCATTTAAATACCAGGCAAGCCTAATATACTGTGTGTATATATATATATATATATATATATATATATATATATATATATATTATTTGGAGATATAAAGTGACAACTGATATTTATATGCATTTTATGTAAGCAGTCTGCTATACTGTTAAGATCTCATTAATTTACAAGCTATCAGAATTTCATCTTACTTTTCAGCCATGTAAATATCAGCAACTGCACCAAAAATTTGGTATTTTTGCTCATTTTGAGCATATAAATAATACAGATAAGTCTGAGCTCAATATTTCAACTACTGTATATCAGTGTATGAACCATTGAAGCCTTGAAACACATGCAAACTTTTTTTTTTTTTGTAAAATGAATTTGTCTAAAAGTGCAGCAAACTGTTCCATTTGAAAAAATATATTTTTCTGATTATTATTTCATATACCATGTTTTACAGGGTTAAGAGTCTGTGCTGCTGAAGTCTTTGCATTATCCGATGCTTGAACAACTGACACGTTCTACATAATTGCCTCTGGGCTAAATGTGACACATATCAAACAAATTTAGCCCAGTACTAGCTACTAAAAAAGAAAAAAAGTTTAAAAAGACGGACTTAAGGTTTGAACTGCCAAATATAGTAATGTCTTACACAGTCTGATGTGCTGTCCAAAATGTCAAATCTCTAACTCGTTCTAAAACGAGGGTTAGGGTTCGGCCAATCAGAACCAATTACATGTTTGCCTCTCTTGTTGTCATTTCCAGTGACAGCAGAAGTAAAGCAGAGATATCGTCAAACTGGCGTGAAATTTTCATTTGGTTGCTTTGTAATGGTCGTGCATCTATTTTGTGTACTAAAATGCACCAAAACAACAGAAACAATGGACCCACTACAGCTCAATAGCACATAAATGGTGTAATGCCTCGTCGTCATCATGTCTAAATAAAGATGGCTAGCATAATTTCTCACATACCAAGACAGATGTTCTATAAACACCTTTTCAACCGTCTGGATTAGGTGTAATTCTCAGCTTGGTAAGTTTGGCCAAATATATCAAACACATGCACAAGCACGTTTAAGTTTAGGCGAACGGTATCCTAGCATAGCACGCATTTATGTTTGGCTAGCACTGTACCATAGCAAAGTATGTGTTGCAAGCTGGCAAAATCTATTTTCTGGCATGTGTTTTCCAACAGTTCAGTCAAGAGCTAATTTATTTTAGCTCTCTTCACACTTAAACATTCGGTGTTGCTGAGAGAGCAGAAGTAAAAACTGACTGAAAAAGCTCTCTGAAGAATTAACTGCTGAAATCAGGAAAATATAAATGGGCACAATTATCAAATTTAACTTAATTATATTGACAACACGAAGTTCATTTAGTCAATTTGCATGCAATTTAAACACGCATCTGAAGCCGGGTAAATCTCATGAAAATGAACTTTTTCACCATAAAACCAAAAGACAAAACAAATATTATACATTAAATATATTATAGAATTATAAAATAAATATACTTTGCATCATTACTATCAATCAATCTATCTATAAAATCATGTGTTATTTATTATATAATGTACTTTATTTATTTATTTAGTGTCCCATATTCCCTACAAATAAGTCATAAACGCCTAAACTAAAATCATAAATGCAATAAATAAATACAATACAATAAACCTTATTAAAATTAAGTAAACCATAAAAAACTCAATAAAAATAAAAATAATACATAAATTAACTGGGTGCATGTCAAAAACATCACATTTCACCCCAAAATTAAAAGCCTTATAAAGGAGCTAATATAGTATACACCACATAATACATTGTTTTCCCCCCTAAAAAGGTTTAATATTAGAATAAAATACAAAAAAAAAATACATTTAAATAATAACAATAAATTAATATCACAATACAAAACCATCCAATAAATAGGCTTCATTTTCTTGATGTATATTATAACTTCTTATTTCCTTTTGTTTGATGTTGTGGTGAAATGTGCACTAGACACGTTCTTGACAGGTTTCCTGAGATTCACCCAGCTAGAAAAACGAACAGGGAACATGTCAGACTGAAAACGGACCAATCTCTTTGGTCATGAGAACAGCAGACATGCAGCTTGATATGCTGTAATAAGCATGCTTTTAAGAAAACATTACATGTAAAACCTTCTGCTGTGTCCAAGGCAAAGACAGATTTAGACAAGCAAGTCTTCTAGTTGAGCGATGGAGCCAAATGGCCATGATCACATTAAAGATCCAGGGAGGAGACAACCCTTCCAAATCTCCAGGCTCAACTTGTGTGGTTTTTTCGCTGTTCTGTGGACTTTAAATTCAGCATTATTATGCATCCACACACTGACACATTATGTGATGCTGGCGTCTTACAACGCAAAAAAAAAAAAAAAAAACACCAAGGCAAGACGAAGCTCATAGTTTCCTGTGACGGCCCTTTAATTCCAAACCTATTTGAGGGCCATGCTGCGCTGCAAAAATGTCAATAGTAATGAGCGCATCTCCAGTCAATGAATATGAATGAAGCACAGGAAAACAGCCCACTTTTCATTCCTAATATGTGTCAGGCATTTTGCCACCCCAAACACGAGATACCTGCTTAAACGGCACCTCTCACCCCACTTCAACGGCAATTCAATTTGTTCCATAAGCCAGGGATGAAAAAGCAATTATTCACAGCATCCGTCACTTCACGATCTGTTTCTTAAAGATATCATTCTTTTCTGGGTAAATGAACAAATAAGCTGGCGGATTAGTGCCACATGTGCTTCCGGGCCTTCGCCGCCCATCGCTTCGCACAGCCCAGCCCAGCGGCCAGCGAGTCCTCGGG